CGCTCACCACCCCCCCCGCGCCGCCGGCCGTGGGACAGTACCTGCCCGAGGTGGGGCCGGGGATAGACGGCGTCAAGCCCCCCTACGGCTACATGGGCAAGAAGGGCAAGGCTGGCGGCGCCGTCTACGAGATGCCCGCGTTCACGGCGGAGCTCCTCACCCCCTTCCCCCGGGTCGGGGTGCCCGTGAAGTTCGACAAGCTCCTCTACAACGGCCGGCAGAACTACAACCCCCAGACGGGGATCTTCACCTGCGAGATCCCCGGCGTCTACTACTTCGCCTACCACGTCCACTGTAAAGGGGCCAGCGTCTGGGTGGCGTTGTTCAAGAACAACGAGCCGCTGATGTACACCTACGACGAGTACAAGAAGGGCTTCCTGGACCAGGCTTCGGGCAGCGCCGTTGTCCAGCTGATGCACGGAGACAAGGTTTACGTTCAAATGCCATCCGAGCAGGCGGCAGGACTCTATGCCGGGCAGTACGTTCATTCGTCTTTTTCAGGATATTTATTGTATCCCATGTAAAACAAAAACCAGACACACGCACATACACACAAAATCAAAACCTTTCTTCTCTGCTTCAAACTTTTATACCATGAAAGATGCATTTTATGACTGTTTCGGACCATCTTGTATTAAAAAAAAAAATACAAAGTTCAACATTATGCACAGCTAGTTATTAAAAAAAAAGTGTGGTGAACGTATCTAAAGATGTGTATCAGGTTCATAAACAGTTGTTTTGCACCCAAGGGGGACATATTAGCTGTACATTATATATTTCTGTGATGCCATGCTTACTTCATTTCATTCACAGTAATTCAGTACTAAGGTTCAAGTTCATTCAGCGTACGTCACTCACTCCTGTTGCATAGTTGACTGTTGCATTGATCATAGTTATGAGATGAAAACCAGTGACTTAAACCAGAGTAGGTCTGTCTCAAATTATATGGAAAAATTTGAGTGGCTTTTTATTTGTTTGGGTGGGGGTTTTGGGGGGTTTTTTTGACAGCAGGTCTGCCTGACGAGCAAAGGTTCTCTTAGCTGGAGACCTTTATTTCCCTTCCCCCCATATAAAATGTTCCTGCAGGTGTGTTTTTTTCCTGAATAATTTATTTATGATGGAAAAGGAGTACTGATGGTGTAACTATTCTCCGCGAGCCTTCTCCGGCAGTCATTGGACCCAGAACGCCACCACTGACTCCAGCAGGCGCCGGGTTCACCTCCAAATGCCACAGCACTCGAAAAGTCTCCATCTGCATTTGCGCAGTTGAAGTAGGTGAGGTAGATCAGAGACAAAAACGAAGGGCTCCCCGTTTGCTTTGTGCCACGTGATTGAGACATCTTGGCCGACACGTGGCAATACAGCAGGGCGGTATAAATGCGCTGGGATTTCTGTGCTCGCGCTAAGAACCTGCGTCTGTTTGGCTTGTCAGAAGAGACGCGTATTCTGCCACTCAGCGAAAATTAAATCAGCGTACTCTTCAATGACTAGGCAAAGCAGAAGTAGCTCTGTTCGCTAATGAACTAGTTTGTTTGAGATCAACCGGTAACTGTACCGGCACAATACTGATCACGCAAATTGATCCGAGAACTTCATTTTATAGAAAAGCTGATTTCCAATCCTTATTTATATGTTACCAGTTGTCAAGGAGAACCTGCAGGCCTCAATCTTTTCTGTGCGTGAGGAAACCAACTTCTCTGCAAGAGCTGTCTGTTCATCCACGGTGCTAATCTCACCTCAAAAGTATTCGCTTCCAAAGGGCAGGGTACTTTGCTGTGGTTCCCTGTACAGTGCTGCACATCACACACTGTTATGCTAGTTGAAAGAGTTAAATACTCATCACTTCTTCAATGTCTTTAGCTAATGCTACTGCTTTTGATTCAAAAATGAACTAGATTTTTCATGCACAACTAAGATTGGATTTAACTGGCATTACCATTATTTAAATGCAGAGTTTAATGCAGTCTAACATTGACTAAGGACTCCAGTGATATAATGTGGTGCTTTATCTCAGAAATTTTATGGAACGGTGGCAGGAATGGATGGACAGTTTACCAGGCATTGGTGACTTCGGTGTGTTCCCAGAATATATGAGATATGTCAAAAGCAAATAATTTTGTATTTAAAATTTTTGTACTGATTTGAAAAAAATATCTTATTAAATATCTTAAAAAAAAAAATCCTGTCTTCATTCAGCAGAACTGCTGGAAGGAACATTCAGCCCACTGAATTCATACATCAGACCACAAGGACCTTCTGAAACCACTGACAGCCTGGTATGAGAGAAAAAAAAAAAAAAGAAAGTGCGATACCCTTTTCTTTAGTTCCCCTCTACTGGCAAAACCTGCCCTAAGCCAGTGGGGGGAAGGCGCTGTCCTGGCATCGCATTTCGTGGGAGAGCACGGCTGGGGCTGGGGGGAACACGCAGAGCAAGGGGCTCCCGCAGGTGGGCTGTGGGGACGGGCGCCTGCTCAGCGCAAGCCGACACAGGAGCGCAGCTTAAAAAGGCACAGGGGCAGCGCACGGGAAGCCAAGAAATCGGACATCGTAGCGGTGTGCTGTCAAGGGTTTGTGCTCGCCTAAAAAGCCAAAGCCGGGTGCCCAGGCTGGGAGATGCACGCCACCTCCCTGGCTCTCCTTGCGATTTGAAAACAGCTTTTCCCATTCCTCCCCCTCCCCATTTTTTCACCTGCAGCAAAAACCTAGTGTGAAAGCAGCAACATATTTGTCACTGACCTACATCACTATTCAACTGTGGCTCCGCTGCGGGGAGTAAATGATAATCCACGGAGTGGCTCCCCCGATCTCACTTCAAAGACAGGCATTTCCTCCAAGCTCGCCAACTCCTAAACTGTCAATGCTAAAATGAATGCTTTGAATACCTACTTGTGTCAGGTCATCGTTTTCTAAATCTCCCTTAGACTCCCTGAAGCCGCTGGCTAAGCAACTCCCCAGCATCTCATTTTTACTGCACAGAGAGAAAGAAAAAACATGAGCGAAGTATCGCAATCAATGTCCCTCACTTTCTATCTAAAGTCTTCCGCCACACACCATCTTCTTAGTTAAACGACTTGTAATTAAAAAAACATGAAAAATTAAAATCATGAGGATGCTGCTCTTGATCTTACCCACAAAAACTCCGTCCCAGTTTTGCTTTCACTCAGCCTGGAGCGAGATCTCCACCTGCAGTACAGCTCAGCCTACCTAGGTTCAAAAATTTTCAGCTCCGTTTGCTCTACTAAGCACCAAAGTTTGTTCTGAAACTCAATGCCGTATGTGACAACGCTGTATGTACTTTACACAGCATTAATAATGGGGCTGGGCACACGCGCGCATCCGCACACACACAGAGCAATGACCTTGCAAAAATAAGCCTGAAGGCACCATCTTTAACGCCGTTTATTCACAGGAAAATAATCTCTTTCCATTTGTAGCACTCAAAATTTCACTTGAAACAATGTCAACACTTGTAAGAATGTCATCAAAATACAGCCAGCGCTTTAAAGGCATATAAAGCTTAAGACAAATGGCAAACAATGTAAGTATTTACCGATACCAAAACCAGACATCGAGCTTCATGTGTTCTTAAATATCAGACTCCACTTAAAAGTTAAGGTATTCATACTACCTCCTAGGGCATTGTTAAAAAGGAAAGCGTGGCATAGGAAACAAGAGGTACCACACGCCAATTATTAAACATCGAAGTTGTGATTCTGTATTATCATCACCAATACAGTCACTGGAAATGTCATTTAGTAATAGCTTTTAGGCACTCTGAGTAGTATTTAGTGCAACAGTTTGTGACCTTCCTTCTGAAGTCGTATCTCCGTACTTCCCTTAATTATTACAGCAGAGGAAAAAATACTTTCCCTGACAGAAAAACAAACAAAAGAACCCCTAGAAGTCTGAGCCAAAGAGAGCTTTCGGCTGATGCGTGTCATCCTGCCTGTTTTGTGCGTACTTTGGTACCTTAGAGCTGAGTCTTTCTGATGGTGCAGCATTTTGAGGGGGGTGGCAGGTAAAATGCAGGAGCACCTTTGCTGTAGGATGCCGCTGTCTTGAAATTCAGCAGGCTGCTGGAGAACGGGACGGTGGAAGAAGGAAGAATTGCATCCGACTTTGCAATTGATACAGGAAGAAAATCGATGTGAGACACTGGGTACCTATATAGTTACACCGTTACCAGAGATGGAAATAAAGCTAGCCCTGGGATTCAAAATTGGCAGCTTCACTGCTGCTGCTGTGATAAAAAAATTGGGTAGCTTTTAAAGGGAAGTTTCAGCGCAGAGATTTCATTTTCAGGAATGGCAAAAAATGGAAAAAGAAAATCTTAATAGCAGCTCGCTCTCAGAGAAGATCAAAGTATTTGGAGTTAGCATTATTGCTTTTTTCAAAGAGCCCCAAGGCAAGTCTTTGGTATTGCAAAACGCCTGTGAAAACGGGTGCCCGGATAGAAGAGCCACTGTGATCTGTGGGCATTACTGAGAAACGCACCGCGTGTAGGTAATTCTTGCCTGCATGAAGTTAGTGTGAAAGCGGTACCCGTCCTCAAGACAGCATAGCAGAAATGACTGTGCGAAGCGGGTGACCGAGCAGGGCTGGTGTACACAGAATCCTACCAAAACGTCTTACGGGGGTGGTGGGGAATGAATCACTTGGGTCACCACTTATTATTGAAGAGAAAAGCTACTGGCCTGCAAGCTGTGCTTTCAAAAGAACATAGTACCTTGTGGTTTATCAACGGTATCAGCTCTTGGCTCGGTCCCCAGTGAACAGGTCTGGCTCTCAATGTTACCCAGTCACCCTGGGACAGTAACCCCGGCATACGCAGACTTGACCTCCCTGCAGGAGCACAGAAGTGGGGGAAAAAGATCCCCGGGAGTACTGTTTAATTTCAAAAATAAATCAGTCATACAAATGGGGAGGCTTATTAAGAAGAAATAAAAAGGAGCAGCCGAT